AATTACTTAGTGTAATCAGATAGGCTTTGGATTCAAAGTTTAATCCGCTGCTTTAATATACCGAGTCTGACTTTTGATACAGGAACATTGAGATACACTGCTAATTACACTGAAATACCTTTGTATTCATAATTTCTAAGGACACCAACAGCAGGCAAAAGAACATTAATCTGAAGGGGTATCCTTGTGAATTCACAGGAAGTTTTGGCAAATAAACACTGGAACTAACAAATAATCTTAAAACTTTGCATACCGTGTAGTGTATTAGAATACAGAGTAAGCAAACCAACAACTATTAACACTATAGACACTATAAAACAGCACCACTGCAACTTTAAACAGCTGACACAGGGTATCCAGCGGGTTACAATCTAGCAAGCCATGCATGTGGGTCAGATGGGCAGTAAGAATGCTTTGAGAATTTTGGAAGATAGAACACTTCTAAGTTTTGTGATGGCTTTTAACATTCCTAGCAATTCTTGGATAAAATTCCAATCTAAGCAATGTATGTAAAGAAAGTCAGTGACTTGTTACCACTGAAGTATCGGCGAACTTTAAAGGTGATAGAATCCAAAATTTTACATATTTTTCAACTTTCACAAAAATCTGAACTTCTTCTGTTTTCTGAGGTATTACATTTTTACATTGTAAACAAAAAAAATCGAACGAAAATATATCTTCATACACTGTGTGAATTAATTCAGTTGTAATCACAATACACACAACGTGATAAGATATGCTGTTACATAGCTCTAAATCTCAAAATATATATACTACCCTCTCTTTAAATAGCTCCAATTACATTTCGTTAACACCATACAGAAAAATTTAACGCCACGTTCGTAGGAAATACTATTTCTTGTTTAAGGTTAGCATTAATCGCCAATATTACATTTTCCTTTGTTAATTATAGATTCACACTGTCCTTGAACTCCGTCCGATTTTAATTTCATACAGATCGAATTTAACAGCAACGCTTCTAGATGTTTCTCCACTTATGAAACCCATTCCAGTAACCGATTCATAATGCACGCCTTTTGCTAACATAATGTAATGTTTCCAACAATAGATCTTGGGAATAATTCCACTTGTCCGAATAGTAAATTTTAAGAAAAAGACATACCCACGAGCACTGACAATGTGCAATAAAACAATATAGTGAAATTTCAACACTCAGTAGAATCGATTTCACATGAGGCAGTAATTTCTTACCTTGATTTTTTGTTTTTGCAAGTAAAACCACTTTACTTTAAACTTCCCAGGTTAAATCCAGATTTCTCTCAAACCACTACTTTAGCAATGTGGACTTTATTAAATACTTGCAACTCAGCAACTTCTAGAAATTTCCTGACCTTCGAAGAGAACCAGCCAATTATACAAGAATATAGTCCCAACGTCATAAGCAGTAATACCAACGACATCAGACTAGTTCTTCTACTGACCATTAGCACCACAACAACAAAGTAAAACTGGTTAGTCAGCCCAAAGAGTGACTTAGCACTTCATAAAATCTTCGATAGATGGCACTCGCCACCTACACAAATTCATAATGAATTTCTATAGCAGATCGCAAGATGGCACAAAAATGTTCTGTATATGTGTTTCGTTTCCCATTAATGAGAGCAATCGCGTTTTAGCAGTCCTGATATCAGATTTATTAGGCAGGCAAGAGAATTTTGAATGTAGACCGACATATCTCAACCACGGATTTCATTTCTGACAAACTAAAAATGGATTTCAATGCTGGCGTCGCTACACCAAGAGCCGACGACATTGGTTAATATCGCCCTACTTTACAAGAAGTTCAATCAGATTTGTGTGATCTCAAAAACAATTACGTACCCACAAACACTGATATTATTTCACTAAACTGCAAGCTGAAGCTGTAGGAATGTAAAAATTTTCCAGGAGATAATTTAAACAAATTACTGAATGTCTGACCTTCAGAATCAGATATGGAATGAATGATGAGGCCTCATACTCAGACATGACATATCCCTGTTCACTCAACAGGGTAAAAACAGCCTGCAAATATATGAGGCCTTTCGATAAAACAGATGTCTTCATGAAGAAGAATCTCAGAGTGAACCATTTCAAAATTAAATCCAAGTTGGCAACTGTTGCATTTGCGTTATTGGTCAAGTCCTGAAATTCAAATGGAGCAACATCACTGCAATAAACTTTCAAATGCTAAACAATTTAAAAATTAATTTTATGCACAAAGTTATTTAATCACCCATTTAAAACTGTACACATAAAAATGTGGAATTCAGGATGGCACACGGCCAATAAGTTGTAAGGAAAGACAGGTTTTTCATCAACTGTACATTTTTACCTCTGCTCCACAAGACAAATGTAAAGACACTTCATTCTGAACATGAAGTTCATCACCCTGAGATTGCCACAAGCTACACTAGGTGAAATAGTCGAGTGGATGTTTTCTTAG